TAGGTAGGGATGAGCCTCTGGAATATTTCATTTTTTTCAAGATTCATGATATATGATAAGGTCGAAAAATTAGAATGACATAAGTGACACTTTTATACAATGTTATATTCAGGGTAACATTTAATTTTGAATAATTTTTATCGGAACAGGATTTTTTCTAAAACCGATAAACTTCTGTGGTGGAATCAGCGTGGAGCAGGGGCATACAGGGCATATGCTCCCCCTTGGATTTGAAAACATATTATTATTTAGCATAAAATCGTCCAATTGTTTTTATTTCTTTCCTTTTATGGAATCATAATGCCCCACTTTCAAAATTCCTAGATCCGCCCCTGCACTTCTACCTGAAATTTGTGTGTAGAATTACCTTTAGTTGTCTGTGTTATTCTACCTGCATAGTAAGCGCCTTTCTCTCTATCGATCTATCTCATTGTAATAATTTAATCAAACTCTGGACAAGAATGGCTCTGCATAGCTCAGGTGAGATCAAGGTAAATTTAATATTGGTCTCGTAAATTTTCAGAAGAAACACAAATAAGTACACACATTAAAGTCATAAACCTGTGTTTTATAGCTTTATCAACTACTCGTGTAACAGCAGTGTTAGTATACAGTAATTTTGGGTTATTTAGTTAATACAGGTGACCTGGATGACGTGACTTTGGCGTTTGATTTCATTCAAGCTGTCTTGTCACACAAAACCACAACTCGGGTTTTCAGATCCTGTTGTTATTGAAAATGATATAATGAAATATTTTCCACTGGACGCTAATCCATCAACAGCTAATCATCGAGAAAAAAGTCAGATATAGGGGAGGGGGGTAAATTAGTAAGAAATAATTCAACCGATCATAATTAATTTGCAAAAAAAAGAAGAGATATGATATAAATACACTGCTACTTTTGCATAGGTACTATTTCTGTACTTAAAATCTGTAGTACTGGAAATTTACTTTTGATATTTAGTACGATTTCTTTACTTTAAAGTTATTGTAATATTTAGGTACCTGTATTTCACAGTACTTGATTTGTACTTAAAATTTTGGTACAGAAATATTACCAACAGTGATCACAATATTCCATGTTTGAAATCATAACTTTAAGCGATTTGAAATAGACAAACTTTCTAAATGCTAAAAATCTAATGGTGTAACCAAAAATCTGTAGTACTTAAATGTTAAGTACATATCAAGGACTGTAAAATACCGGTACCTAAATATTACAATAATTTTAAAGTCACAAAATAGTACTGAATATTAAAAGTAGATTTCCAGTACTACAGATTTTTGGTACAGAAATAGTACCTATGCAAAAGTAGCTGTGTATATATAATTCGTCTAAATAACAGCCCAACAATGTTAGATCTGTAAATTTGCTTCTGCAAATGTTTTGTTTTTCCCTGGCCGGGATTCGAACTCATGCTACTGAGATATCGTGGCACCAAAACGCCTTGTACTATGCCCGATGCGCTAGACCACTCGACCACCTAGGCTTGACAAAAATCAAGCTTTCGGTGGCCGGGTGTTACCTTTCCTCGTCAGTTTTTATCTAGCGTCGTAACACAGTACATGATATATAAGGCATTGAAGATGGAATATTACAGATCAGCTGAATTATCTATCGTAGAGGATCTTACAAATTAATGTAGGATGCAGTCACAGAAATAATTATATTATAAGAACTTATGAATGAGTGACAACTCTACGACAGATTTTATCCATCGTTTCACCAGTGATGGTGACACAAGGCTGAAAACACATTCTGTATACATAATTTGTCTAAATAACAGCCCAACAATGTTAGATCTGTAAATTTCTTACAGTCCTTGGATGGTGTAAACTTCCCACTAACACCATACACCATTACACCATTCACCATACACCATTACACCATACACCCTGTGCCATTACACCATACACGTTACACCTTTGCACCATACACCTTACACATTACACCATATTGCAATTTAATTTCAAAGAAAGCGTGCGACTACAAAGATATTTATTTATTTTAAAACACGAATTTTGATCACAATATTGTAAATTAATGTATAAAATTAAAAATCAGTTCTTATCAATATTTTGCATAGTTTTAAATGTCGTACACCATGCATTCACACCATTCCCGATCGCACGTTACACCATTACACCATTCCCCTTACACCATACACCATAGCACCATATACCTTCTACCATTGCACCATATGCCATACACCATACACGTTTTTTGGGAAGTTTACATCATCCAAGGGCTGTACGCAAATTTGTTGTATATATATATAGATATAGGGAGATGTGGTATGAGTGCCAATGAGACAACTCTCCATCCAAGTTACAATTTATAAAAGTAAACCATTATAGGTCAAGGTACGGCCTTCAACACGGAGCATTGGCTCACACCGAACAGCAAGCTATAAAGGGCCATATGATGAGATTCCCGACATGGAACAAAGTGGAACGTATATATACATGTGATAAACACCTTCTCTCAAATATTTTAAGAAGTAAAATAATCAAATGTAAAACACACCAAACAGATAAACAGTAAGAGAAAAATTTAACGATTTAAATAATACCGGCATTAAAAACGACGTAAGCGCCTTTCAATATGCAACTATTGATGACATGGAAATAATAAGTATGCATATGTACACCAAGACTTCCTTTTAAATAAAAATCGACGTGATACACTCTAGCTAAATCATGCAAGCAACACAGCTGAAATCAAACTGTTACACAGTAGAACATCACCAATGTGCACTTGAATACCTTTACAGTGTACACTTCAGAACATTTGACTTTCTAATGCAAATTAATGCCTCGTTCACACGTACATTTAATTCGAATTGAATTCGCATCGAATGCGAATCGAATTCGCTAATCGCGTTCACACACTCTTCTTTTTTAGTTCGAATTGATTCGAATTGGCTAAATCGCATTATCCGATTTGCATTAGAAATGCGTTTTTGTTAATACGAATTAAAAGTTAACGTCGTTTGGACAGTAAAGCGAATTTGACACGCATTGCAATTCGAATTAGAATTTACGTTTGGACGTAAAACGTTTCGAATGCGAATTAAACTAATAAACTTTATTCAGATAAATCAACATTAAACGATATTATACAAATGAAATAATATTAAGGATTCAGAAACAAGCAATTTGCTTTTACAAATCTGTCTCCTTTTACAAAAAATAATACACTTATTGGACAATACATAAATATATATACTGGCATGCTCTGTAATAAATATATGAATATGAAAAAGGTGAAAGAAGAAGAAGAAGAAGAAGAAAAAAAAAAATGAATGAGAAAAAAAAAAATAAACATGAATTATTGTAATGTATACAGTGTGAAATGCTTGGGTTCCTATTGAATGATGAAGCATTAACATCAATATTAAACATTTGACATTATGTAAAAGAATTTCGCTACACTGTAGATCATTTGAAGTTATATTAGAAGAATATTACTACACTGTAGAACAGATCACATTCTGAGAAGAATATCACTACACTGTAGAACATTTGACTTTATGGAGAAGAATATCGATACATTGTAGAATATTTGACATTATGTAGAAGAATATCGCTACACAGTTGAATATTTGACATTATGTAGAATATTGCTACACTGTAGAATATTTGACATTGTGTAGAAGAATATCGATACATTGTAGAACATTTGACACTATGTGGAAGAATATCGATACATTGTAGAATATTTGACATTATGTAGAATATTACTACACTGTAGAATATTTGACATTGTGTAGAAGAATATCGCTATACTGTAGAACATTCGACATTATGTTATACAATTATTGACTTTTGGTGATGTTGATACAATGATTTATCAATCCCAGATATATGATATTCACCGAGGCCAACGGCCGAGGGTGAATGTTATATCTCTGGGGTTGATAAGTCATTGCATCAACTGATATCAAAAGTCAACAATTGTTTTATTATATGACTTTTTATCCTTCTCCAATTTTCTAATATTTACTCAAGATACTTTTAAAACTGTTCCCTGTTTTTATAATCAATATATCATCTGCTTATGCAGCTGCTATTTTTCATAAGTTGAAATATTCAATAAATTTTACTAAAAAATACACCGAAAACAAGAAGAAGAGAAAAAATACACCGAAAACAAGAAGAAAAAGAAAAAAAAAAAAAAAACGGAAACTTACATTACTCATAAACCTACGTCATTGGCGTTGCCTTGGAATATCTATATATAGGTACACGGACGCTGTTCCAAATCTTATATTAACCTCTCGTAATTTTTGCTGTGGTCAATATAATGTTTTATCAATGAGGATTTTCTATGTTTTTAGCCAATGAGAAAACAGAAAATCTAGTCAAATAATAAAAAAGAATATCGCTACACTGTAGACCATTTGACATTATGTAAAAGAATATCGCTACCACTGTAGAACATTGACATCAGGGAACGACCATTTAACTTCAAGGGGGGAAGGGGATGGGGTTATAGTTTTTTCCTAAAAAAATATTCTGATCCCCAATTTGATGGAAAAAATATTATGGTCAAGCAGATGACAAAAAAAATTATTCTGAATCAAGATTTTCCCCATACCTTATAGTGTTAAATTTTGAAAAAAAAATAGTTTGATTGATAGCGTCGAAAAACTAAAAAAAAAAATGTTTGCGCTTTGCGCGGAAAAAAAAATTCTGACTCAGACATTCATTTGACATTAATATTGTCATTATTGAGTACAATATCACTGAACAGGGCAATATTTGACATTAAGTTGATAAGAATAATAAAGCTACACAGAAGAATATCAAGATATAGTAGAACAGTTGACACATTTTTTTGTCAAATGTTAACATTGTATAGCAGAATACTACATTGAAGACCATTTTACAATATTATACTTAGGACATTGTTAAAATTCTATATCAGGGATGTATGTTTTTAAAATATTTTCGTCCATCAGCATTGATTTATATGTTTTTTTTTTTTATTGGTAGAAGTAATGAAGAATGAACCTTCTAATGGAAAAGGGGCACAGAAATGTAAGTTTCATACAATATGTGTTTTTTGGCTCACTTCTTTGTAGACATAGAAATATTTTATTTTATCGTTTCCAATCATGGTGCCCTAGATAAAGCAGTACAATCATTCATAACTAGATAAACAAGAAAAAGTGATTTTTATAATTGAATATTTAACATAATGGAGCAGAAAAAAAAAAACCCCAACTAAATGCAAATACAGTACAATCAAGGAGGTTATATGACCTCCTTGGTACAATATAATTGTCTAAGTTTCTGGGCATCTCTACCTGGTGGGAAAGGAGAGACAACTCCTATTCCAAAGTATATAATCCAAATGACGATTTTTCTTTAAAATGCTCTATAATTATATGTTTTACAAAAGTGCTTTTAAGATATCGTAAAAGCATAGTACTAAATGTAAATACGGACAAGATTATAATAATTATTATTACTATTTCAAGTATTTTTTGTCTGTATTTAAGGACCACTGCTATTCTTTTATCTCTTGTTTTTCCAAAGCACTGTATCACTAGCTTGTCATCACTGAGGTTGTGATTTCGAATCCGGCACGTGGTAGATGCGTTTTCTCCAATCTTAATTAACTATGATTGTCAGTTTTTTTACCGAAGGTCAGTGGTTTTCTCCGGGCATTCCGGCTTCCTCCACCAATGAAAACTGACCGCCACGAAATAGCGCAGTAGTGCTGAAAGTGGCATTAAACACCAATCAATCAAACAAACAATCAATCAATCAATCAATCAATCAATCAATCAATCAATCAATCAAACAATCCAATGCACTTAAAGTGAATTATTTGCTTTTGTCTTTAGCTGTAACCAGATTACCTTTAACACTGTTTAAGATTTTAATAAAACTGCACTCAACAAATTCATTTCATTTATATTACATGTGCGTGTCTGTATAATCTGTTTGCGGTATATTATGTATACAGTATGCGATAAAATGGTAGTAACTATAAATGATAATAGTGATTGTGTCACATAAAATATTTGGAAGATTGATTGATTTTTGCTTGCTTAACATCCAGTGATAAGTGTATAATGCCTATTCTCGACGAGAACAATAAAGTAATAGGGCGTTTCTGGGAAGTGAATCGACCGGGATGAAGAGTGGAAAAGCTAGACATCCAGTTGAAAAGAACGCATATTGGATAGACACGAACACCACTTATAGCATGGATTAACTATCGGTGCATGGTAAAAAGTTAGGTGACCATATTTCTATACTTCAGTCAATAATTTGAATTTACAATTAAATAATAAATGTATTTTTATATTTGCTGCTGTATTCAAAATGTTTTGCCGCAGTTACTTAATATAGAAATGTTGAATAACAGTAAACTTAGATTTAAAATGTGTGTGTGTTTTTTTTTTTACAGATTTAACTATTGTTGCTGTATTCATTATAACCCTGATATATTACGTCAATGTCAAGTCTGGTGATAATTTCATACGAGTAGAAAATCCATCGCCATTTAGAACACAGATATTCAATATAACAATAAGCAAAGGCATATTGATAAAATCACAGAAGATAGACTATTTTATATGTCCTGCCTTTGTAGGAAGAATTGGGAATAAACTTTTTCTATATGCTTCATCCTATGGTATAGCAAGAAGTAAAGGGATGAAAGTGGTTATTAATACAAACTGTGAACTGCTGAAATATTTTACCTTAAACGCAGACATAAGAAAAGACACATCAATATGTCATTCACGAAATGTTAAAACAATTAAGGAAGAACATTCAGCCGTGTATGATAACAGATTACTGGATTTTAATAATACACACAACGTTAGACTTGTTCAATATTTACAGTCCTACCTTTATTTTGATCAATATAAGGAGGAAGTGAGAAATCAATTTACCTTCAGGGACGAAATGATTAAAAAGGCGACTTTACTTCTAGACAATAAACTTAAAGGATATGATATTTACAGAAACAGTAAATATCACAAAAACCACAAGTATAAATATATGAAGGTATATAATGAGACCACACAAAAAAAAATAACATTAATTGGCGTTCATATACGACGTGGTGACTGGGCAAAATACCCGGATGCGGGCTATAATGTGCCAACTAAGGAGTATTTACGAAAAGCAGTTGAGTGGTACCAGTCTAGAATTGAACATTTGGTGTTTGTCGTAGCGTCAAACGGAATGAAATGGGCGAAGGACAACATGCCCAAAAATATAACTTCTATTTTTTTAGAGGGAAATTCAGCCTGGGTAGACTTAGCAGCTATAACATTATGTGAACATTTTATTTCATCGTCTGGAACATTTAGCTGGTGGGCAGCGTGGTTGACAGGAGGAAATGTAACATTCTTTAAATGGCCGGCAAAAGAAGGAACTCGCTTCCGAACAGCTTATAGTAAAGATTACAAAGATTATTATTATTCACATTGGATTGGTCTATAATCCGAGAAACGTTGAAGAAATCATGATGAAAGAAATAACCTACTACGTTTGACGATAACTGTCAAACAAATAGAGGAAATGTCTTATTCTAAAAATTGAGAAAAAAAAGAGAAAAATCTCGTTTTCGAAGAGCGTTTTTGTAAGGATAACAAAGAATATTACTATTCACATGGGATCGGTCTATGATCCGAGAAACTTGGGAGAAATAATATTGCAACAAATTTCGAACTACGTTAAAAACAGTGGTTTGTCTACTAGTGATTTTACTTATATTATAAAAATAATGTCAGATATGTATGATGATAGATACAAACAAATTAAAATCTGTATCATTAAACTCAAAATATTTACAATGTTCTTAAACAATTGCCTTTTTAATGATGCATTTTTATTAAGTGCCACATCAATTCTATTAATAGTTCTTTGCATTTACAGTACCAAGTTTTGATCAAAATGTTTTGAATAAAGATGTGTATTCCAGAAGCATACAGGTAATTTTGAAAAAAAAATTAAAACTTGAAAGCTATAATTGGTCCTTTGATAATTGTTTTTTTTTAAATGTCAATTAACTTGCTATGAATTTTTGCTTTTCTGAAAAGTCTGCCCCTTCTTAAATAAAAAAGCCTAGTAATGATATGTACTAGTATACAATTTGCAAATAAACGTACATGTACAACAAAAGGCTATTACAAATGTAATAGACAACAAAAAAAAAGGCAATGCCCATTTTACTGGCTTCTCTTACATTTTGGTGGAATATTCTTTGAGCAATCCTCATTGAAAAAATGGTGATTGGATGTCATATAAACCCGACTTTGTTCATGTACTTTTGTATACAAGTGGTGGATTTAACGAGGTTTACGTTGTCAAAGCTATTCCGAGCAGTTCTAAGAGTATACTACATTTAAGCAATAATTAATATCCGAAATACTTTTTATATCTGAAGAGTGTTGCGCACCACTAACAGCAAGGTAGTTTCCTGTAGTAGCGAGTACCTTTACAAATTATGTGCTTTTTTATTTATATTGTTTTGTTCAAGTTAGCGGTTGTCAAGTTGGAAGCTGCGACTCTTTTTACAAAAAATCTTACGACTAAAATTGTGTGTTTTAGTTCTGGTCTAGATGGCGATGATGCCGCATTCTATGCACATTAAACTTATTTAATGACCACACACTTTGTCCTTGTAAAAAGACAGACTATCTTGGCCATAAGTTGTTAGTTCAGTGTTGTTTGTTTCTGTTTCGTATGTCTGGTTTTACGGAGGAGCGGGGTGCTGATTGTGGTCTGTTGTACTGTGCGCAACTTTTGGCGATCACTATTATCCTTTGTTATGTATAATTAATAAATATTCCAAAAACAAATACGAAAACCAATAAAAAAAAAAAAAAAAAAAAAAAAAAACCCGAAGAAGCAAAATCAAAAGTAATATATATATAAATAACAAAAGCATTACAGAAAAGAAATTCATCATTGTAATGTAATGTTCAAGATATTCTTTTTATTCTATTTCTATGACGATTCAAAGTCATAAAATCTAGTAATCAAACTGAATAAAATATTTACCAAAAAAAAAAACAGAGAAAAATAAAAGATAAGTAGACGTAGTTAACATGGTACACCTAGAAATATGCAAGATACAAGATGCAAGATACACCTAACATCTAAAATACAAGAACGATAATGTACGTGTACTACTATTCAAATTAACACATTGCCATGAAATCCAATTTAAATTAAAAATATTAATTATTAAAAGAGTATATTGCCAATATATATATATACATGAAAGTAAGTTTCCTTAAATTTGAAGTTATTCAATCAGCTTATTTATAACAGTACAGAACTAGGCGAGGCAACATAACGCACAATAAGTTCCATTAGAAAATTCTCGATGTCTCACTGAACTTATACAGACGTATACATAATGCATTTGTAGGGTAAATTAAGCTTTCTGTATAACACTGAAGTCCTGTGCTCCACTGATAGGTAGACACTATTTGTAATAAATATTTTTTTAATAATGGGATCAAATATAGGGTTAAAACTTAAACACAAAAGATTTTTTTTAACTACAGGGTTTAAAAGCAATTGGGTTAGTGTAGGAATTTAGTGCGAATCTACAGTGTTTGTAAACAAGGCCATGTGAATGTCCCAAAAATGTCGCATGACAATATATGTTTTATAGTTGCAAAAGATGGGGCTACATTTGTACTTTAATGAAAGATATATAAATGCTTCTGATTTCTTAAGGTAAACCAGGTATACATTTAATTCAAGAAATATGTTTGCATTGAGGTCAATGGAGGAATGTTTACTGAATTTACCCAGGCCTACCTAACAAAGTGGTCAATTTGAAAGTCTGAATTAAGAAAATGAGATTTTGACAATTGTTGCTTTTTGGATAAGTTATTTCTTAAAACTTAAGGTCCGATAAAAGTTTAATAGGTTTTCGAATGTTAATATGACAACATCATTGCGGATCGGATACTAATTATGAATTTCGACGCACATGTTATGCCTCTTCATTGTTATTCAAATGAACGACAATATAACCAGTTGTTTGTGTACTTCAACACATGATGTATCATTGAAAACGTGTAAGCATTGTATGGTATGAATATATCTGTTTTTTTACTACTAAATTATATAAATAAAACAACAACTGACATGATTTTACATGTAAATAATTTACATGCATCTTGTATCAATGATCTGTACATGTATGTTTGTCTTTAAATTTTATTTATACAGTAGACTCTACAGCGATATTGTTGAAATACATGTTCATTATATTAATTTTTACTTATCGATACATTTGTGTATATTGAAAACAATAAAGTAGAAAAAAAGAAACAGAAGACATCAAAAAGGACAATGTACTATCCTAAGTCAAACAAAATCTACAACACTATAAGACAAAAAAAGACAAATGAATGATGTAAACACAAACACATTTTCTAAACAAAAACATCTAAACACTACATGTAGAATCACACTACATGTAGAATCACAGTTATAACTAGCTGTGGAACCGTAGCTCTTAAAGGTCCTTTATATGATATTTTTTTTTAATTATTTGTGGACCATAGAGTCTGCTCCGCAAATATTCAAAAAATATCATAAAGACATAAGAGCTTCGGTTCAGCAGCTAAGTTATAATATCTATAATATAATAGCCATATCTACATGTATATTACTAGTGTATCTATAATATAATAGCCATATCTATATTATATCTATAATATAATAGCCATATCTACATGTATATTACTAGTGTATCTATAATATAATAGCCATATCTATATTATATCTATAATATAATAGCCATATTTATATTATATCTTTGATAGAACCATTTAGATTGAGCATTATAAACTGTATGAGTTTGATATCTAGAAGAGTAAGCATATATCTTGTTCACCATCATGTAAAATATGTGGAATTAATATTTCTCATTGAAAGTAAAAAAGTCTCACTAGGGTGTAAACTAGTTGATGAATAGTGTTGGTTTTTCTTATATCTATATTTGCATAATTTTTTTTATAATGATTTACCATTGCAAAACAATATCCATCATTCATGAAATTATATAAAGACATGTGTCCTTGACTTTGCAATTTTTCATACAGACTATGAAAACACTACTAGTGTTCTTTAATTCTTTAAAACATTGTAGTTTTGTAACAAATTACTATTCATCAAATTATGTATGAATGAAAGAAGGTAAGATATTAAAGCTATACTCAAATAGTTATTTTTACTTGTAAGAAAAGTTACATGTAATATTTCATGCATAACATTCTTTCTCTTCCTGTTATTGACTAGCTTACAAACTCTGTCTCGAACAGTAAATCCATAGATGATTAAATGAATTGAAAGTTCAAAGATTTAAGAATACAAACAAGTGCACATGTACATAAACATACACTAAAATATTGTCAATAATTAACATTGCCAAGTTATTTTTTAAGCCCACAGCTATTGACCATTACAACACAGACTGCATGCAAATCATGTGGTCTCAGTGAAATTCAGTCATGTATTTGCAGATTTTTCATACTTTGTACATGTAGGTGTAATTAAGATTGAGCCAAATTGCATGGAAAAATGTGCTTGAACAGTTTACATATAAAATAGTAATGTACTTTGTAATCAGCAGCTACATGTATACCAATACAAAATACCAGACAGTCTAGAATAATAGAATAAAACTACCACAAACTTTTTAATAGTTTGCAATCAGAACTACAACAACATTGACCTTCTTGATTTTTGGGGTCCAGACTGACAGGACTGCCACTTTTTAAAAACGCAATCATTGATTATTTCAATACAAATTTTAAGGTTGAAATGCTTTTGTAAAATTTACACATTTATTTTAAAGCATAGAAAATGTAATTAAGGTTTTTTTTTCAACTATTTTGATATTTGCAATAAAATGAGATGTGTTATTGTCATTAGACATTAATATAGAATTCACATTTACATTGTTTTTTTTAAATTGCGTATTGTATTTTTTCCTTTATATTGGAATTTTTTGTCACTACATGTATTACATTATAATTTTAGGTTAGAAAGGAAAACTTGTGAAGATGAAGGTTATGATTGTGATCTACATATTGATTAATTTGAAGCAGATTTTGTTCTAAAGAGGGAAATAAATAGACAGTGTGTTTTATAAAGATGTTCAATTATTAACACAACAACAAAAATATTCATTGTTTGAGAGATAAATGGATATGAGTGTAAATAAAGACACTGTATTTTCTTTTTCTGGTCACACTTTTTAGTAAGTAGCTATAAATAGCTACATTACAAAGCTCCAACTAGACTAATATTTTTTTAACCCTCTTTCCAAATTATTGCGTTCTTTTATGATCTTGTTCAAGTTGGTGCTCCCGAGATATTGGTAAATGTATCTAGTGCTGGCAGTTTTTGTTGTTGTTTGTTTTACTTTTAAGACACATGGTCCTCGGATAGGCAAAGAATATCGTTTGAATGCAGATAAAACTGGTTTATCCCTGTCACATTGTACATCTTGTTGTGTTTATAAGTGTTTTGGTGTAAAATCAGGATTCCCACACATCTGTAATGCAAGTGTCAAACAAATAAAAGTTAATATGACCAATAGCAACCAACAACCACAGAGTTTCCCACTACTTACTTAGATTTAGGTCATACATAATGTGGTGGGCTTACACATATTGTAAGTGCTAAATTCTCCTCTGAATTGTGACGGTGTCATAGCTTAACTTTTAAGAACAAACAGTTGACACACAGAAATGTCACCCTTATAATAAACAAAAATATGTGTTATGATTGCCAATCATGAAAAAGACAACTCTGCACCAGAGACCAAATGACGTAGAAAATATATAAACTAACGAATCTACTGGAAAATAACTCATTCGTGTCCCTGCATGCAAAAGCTCTAAAGTCTATAAACCATGACCATGGGCTGGGCTAAAAATCTCCATGGAAATTAGATGTGTTCAGTTAATACAACCAGATGCAGATCCAGGATTTTGAAAAGGGGTGCAGGGGCCCCTAAGCTAGACAAACTTTGGAGTGGAACCGGCAAAAATCTGGATTAACCCTAAATGAAGCTTCATAAGAGGGGAGCTGTCACCCTGATTCCCCCTTTTTATTCAGCCTCTGACAACTGCATCACAAATATTATCGACATACGACTAATGGTCCCCGTTTAAAATACCTTGCTGACTCTGCAGCTGGAAACAACAAATAAGAAAAGAATGACAAAGATAAGTACGCATGTTATAAGGGATAATGTCAGCATCTTTTATTTCTTGTAACATGCTCAAAAAAAGCTTCTGTATGAAATCTGCCTGATAAAATTTAGGGAACGTGTTTGTCAACGAAGAAAAGTAGTGTCGATTTGAATCTTTGGTTGAAATACAAAAAAAAAAAACAACATTAAACACGCATACGAGTTTTCAAGATATCGTCTTTCTTGAATTGTCGTTGGAGTGAATTTTTGGTATCCAAGTGAATTAGAAACTCCGAATTCCTGTATCCGTATTGATTAACAAATATTAACAATATTGAAAGGGGTTTTGTCGGCAGCGAACGATAACATTCATTATGGAGTAACACCTGCGTCTATAAAGATACTTGCTTGCATGGGTAGTAACCAACAAAAGGAACAGCTAGACCTCTGTTCTTAATTTGAGCAAATAAGGGTATATTTTAAAACTCCCAAAAGGCATATAAAATATGAATTTAGAGGTAAAGAAAAATATTTTATAAACAGTTCCTAGCTGCTCCTTATGTCAAGCTTCAAATCTTCATATTTAAAAAGGTTATTTTTTCATCAAAGATCGGAAATCCAGATTTTATAAATATACAAAATATTCAACCCTTTTCCAGTTTGGTTTCATTGACGGAATTGGATAATATTAATACTTCCTACAGAAAAAGTGGCATCTTTGCCAAATATTTATATTTTCCTGAAAGTTTGTGCATATAAATTTGCCATTCCAGTGGCGGATCCAGAAGTTTTTATTAAGGGGGTGGGGGGTCGCTACAGTCATGGTTTTGAATTTTCCTCGGAGTTC